AGTAAATGAGTGACAAAAAGAGACTGATAAAAATACGAGAAAGGTAGCTGGGGAGAGGCTGGGATCTAGTTAGGATTGTCAAAGTCCTCATGAAGGATCCTCTGTGAGGTGCTCAGGAAGAAATTGTTCATGGCTATACTGGAGCCCCTAAGCTCACTGATCAAGGAGGATCCTCACAGGAGGAAACACAGCTATCAGAGACAGGTTTTACCTCACATTATGGCTCCTGAATAAAAAGCTACCTTCAGTTCCTGTATCTGAACACATGTTGCTAAAAGACCAAGTAAATCTAACTATACTCTCCTCCATTTTGGCTGGCTCTGCAGCAATCTATTTCTTGCCAAAATAATGTATCTGGAGCTTTCTGGTATTAGAAGCATTTAACTCTCCTGCAAACTTCCTATTTATTAGGCAATTTTTCTTTGGTTTTGAGAGCCAGGAGAAAAACTTCTGAGTACTCAAATACTAACTGAGCACTCTGATACATTAAATAGTAACTAACACTGTTAGTATAAATCTCTTTTTCTTGTAACCTGCTTTAAGCCCTGTGTTCCAGGTTTGAGATGCTGCAGAATAGTGTTTGTGCAGATGTCACCATTTGGGTTTCTCCATCTGCTTGAAGAACCCCTTGACTATCCCTGTTCCAAACCAATAAACATTTAATTTCACCATCCCAAGAACATCATTCTTTCTTTAAAAAACAAAACAAAAAAAAAAAAAAAACAAAAAAAAAAAACAAACCAAACCAAACCCAAGCAAACCAAACAACAAAACCCAAAACCACAGCCCCCAAAAGGCCAGAAATCCCTCGCATTCTGTATCATCAGTCAAGAACCCTCACAGTGTTTGCAGACTGGCTGTGGGTTCAGTCCTTCATACTCTTGTATATCAGATGAGGTGTCTGCAGGAGGCCCTTTCCTCCAACCTAGGTTTGTTCAATATCAAATTTCACTAGAGAGATCTAGAACACTTAACATCCCAAACTGCTTACCCAAGATAAAAATTTTTGCAATCTGACTCCATACCCACTCCTGTTGTCATACTTCTGTATTTTTATTTGTTTGCTCCCATGGATTTGTCTCACTCGGAAGAAATGGGCTAACAAGGTAAACATGGACTTGAAGATAATGCCAGTAAGAGTCTGGACTTTGAAAGCATTTCCTATATCTGCTTATTTTTACTGCAAAACATTCCCCAAGGGAAAAAGGCATAAATACAGCAAAAATTTCAGCAGAAAGCACTCTTAGAAACATAACAGCAAATGTCTAGGTTTACAGTAAAACTTGCTTTTATGTTTTCAGCCTCTTTAAAAACTTTCTTGTAGCCTGTCCTGTTAGCATTACTCATATTAGTTATCTTGCTATGAATATTTAAGTCTCACAGGAAATTATGGGCATGGGATTCAAGTAAGATTTCCTGCCTGTTAATCACCACAGAGTGACACCTTCCTGATACTGCCTGCTAGAGCAGAGAGGCAAATAGTCTTCTGGAAGTTACACTGAAAGGGAATAGTACTGAGTAACAGTGGTAGTTGGTGTTTAGTATGGCAATAGATATGGTAGAACTTCTTAATAACAAGAGCGAAAAAAAGTAAAATGACACTCATGTATACTCCCCACCTTCAGACATACTAGCATGTTTTAAAAAAAAAAAAAAAAGGACAGAAAAGGAGAAATGGACACTACATTATCTGAAGAAAAGCCTTCTAAGCCATCAGAAGAACACGGGGAATGTGAGAATTTAGAAAATTAAAATGAATGGTGGTCTTATTTCAGTATTTGAAAGGAATGACAGAAGCATGGATACACAGGTCAGCTCTCTAAAATAACAAATTATGAAAAACATAAACAACTATTTTAGTTTTTAAAAGATTTGCATTTGAACATCTGTGGTTGCACCTAAATTAGCACTGTATACTTACAAAATTTTGCAAACACAGGCAATTTGGAGATTTATGAACATTTCTATAAAAGACTAAGGCTCTACCATATTTCATAAAACAATTCTTACTCTAAAATTCAGGAGCCATATGCAAACTTCACAACTTCTAGTTAAAAAATGAATAACGGAAGCACAGTAACATTTACCGAAAAGGAAACTAAAAACCAGTCCATAAGCCACCATTTCCTATGATAGACAAATTCCTAAGAGAAGAGATCACCCTCACTCATTATCTTAAACCTCAGTAGAGCTTATGTTCTGAAGTTTAACATGAAAAAGAAACATCTTTCATTTTATAATACTCTACCACCAGTTCTAAGACACTACATCCAAAACACTAATAGCTCCATTTCTCCACTGACTTTCATTACTCTGATAATAAATCTTTCAAAAAGGCCTAGATTATAACACAAGACAATACATTTCAGTCTCTGACTCTTTATTTTAGTGACTATGAATCCAACACAACTCCACAAGAACCAACTTGCTAAATGTAAAACTTTCCTCTTGCTACACTGATTATATTAAAATAATCCAACCTAAATGTTGTTGTGATATTGCACACCACAAAAAGATTGCAACTGCCTACCTAACTAGCTTTCTGATACAAGAGCCCTTCAAATTCCAGCAGCATCCACAGATCTGAAACACTCCAATTTTAATAATTCCCAGTTAAAGGTAAGAATATTGGTCAGGTAAGACTATGGTAGCCCCAGTCTACCGCAGAACATGAAGAATTTGACCAGAAAAGGGTCACTTTTCTTTAGGCTCAACCACATCAATACCAGCTTGAGCTGCAGTTTTTAAAAGTATTGTGCAAAACAACTACTGTGCTAAAAATATGTTGTTACTCAAACTTAAGATCTTCTCTCCAGAGATAGGACTTCCTGATAGGAGATTCAAATTAATAGGAAGTGCCCTTCCTGTGTTTTCTAGAATGCTAGGCTAATGAGTTTGTTTTCAATCACCTTTAAAGAAAATTAGAAGATTAACCAACTGATTGGTGTCTACTGATTTAAAGTGAAGTGACCTTGTATACAAATTGTAAGTGTAATAGAATGCAATCTTCTCTATTCTGGCACAATGCTGTAGTAAGTTTAGTTTCCGCTGTGCTTCTGAAGGAATTTGTACAAGAATTGTCTTGAGACACTGTTCGTGACTTCTACTCTGTATGTAGCCCTATTAGAAACTGATGGGAATGCCTGTGAAGGAGCTGAGCACAGAGACAGACTCCCACTTTCAGCAAAGTTGTTTTTATACAGAGAAAGTGAACAGCTCTGGCCATGTGTATACAGCTATGATAAACCTAACCAACTCACTCCAGCTATATAAAAGCGCTATATAAATTCACCACTCTTAACTTTAACTACAGAAGACATACTCTGTAGTATAATACAAGGAAAAAAAATCCCTATTTACAATTAGGACTTCCAGAAACTAAGGCAAAGGGACAATCAATACCAATTTTGTAGAAAAAAAACTACTGCACTTTAAAATCAACTAAATTGTCAGGTCAGTACACTCTATGCTTTACTCACAGCAAAAACATGGAGTCAAAAGGCAGTTTTCTTTTTAATACTTACACATTTGATTTTGATTCATAGGGATGAGGCGAAACTAGACAGATTCAGCATGCAGTCAGACTAGGAGGTTCAACAGTCTCTTTTACCAATTAGGATAAGTTTTCCAATCTTTTTAATGTGCACAAAACCCCACCACCACCATTAAAGAAGGTTAACAATATGGATTTTCACAGACAGGATTCTCTTGACTTCCCACTGCATAAACCCAGGCTCCTGCAAGACTCTGGTTATTGCAATATTACATCAAAGTGATGACCATCTGCAATGTCTCTGGCAGATACAAATGGAGAAACAAAGCTTCTTTAACCTGGTAATAAGCTTTATCTTTCCTACTGCTAATTTAGATGCCTTAAAAAACATACAGCAGCTCAATTATAATAATTAAACTTCATATATGTAGACACAGAAGATTTTAATCTTAACACAAGTTTATTTCATCCTGTCTTCCCCAGTTAACAGAAGCTTACTACTTTACCATAAACGTCCCTGCTCTTTGATAGTTTCTGATATTTTAAAAAATATTAGAATAAAAGAACTTTTGAGTAATTAATTAGACAAAGTAATATTTTCACCCAGGATTGCCAAATAATCATTACTCTTCCACAAGACTGAGAGAAAGGTGATTCCTCCACTTGTGAGAGATCTTAAACTCTTCGCCTGACAAAGTTGCTAATAATGGCTCAACAGTAAAAATCAGAACAAGTTCTCAGGAACTGTCATCAAATAAAGTTGTACCACTCCTGTGACAAGGAAGGGGAGATACAGCCATATAATCCTGTGCCTTACCATGTATTCAAGTAAATATTAAGCATTTCATTCTCCTTCATGGAATGCATAAATTACTTATTTTTCTTTTAAAATGTAAATATATTTTAAAATAATGGAAAGAAGTCAGGCTAGTGGGAGATGAACGTTCCAAACATTTAAAACGTATTTTGCCCTTTTAAATTTCAAAACCAGTATCAATCTCAAAAGAATCTTACTATTTTAAGGTCTTTGACCGAAAATTTTATTTCACAGTATGTTCACACACAAACAGGTATCCCCACCTATTTTTCTAATACTTCCCCCCCCACCCATGTAATGGCAAAGGCAAACCTTAAGCAGTAAGTTTCTGCTACAGATAAGAAGAATGGCTTAACTGTGCTCTGGCCAGAATATAGCCTGGGAGGAAAAGAGAAAGGGTAACTGAAGTCACAATCAGACAGCAGCTTGCCATCAAACCTTTTCCCTGAGACAAACTGCCCAAGCATCTTAAGAGCAGTTCTCCTGTTGAAAGCAGCACCTTTGTGTTGAAAGCAGCAAAAAGGGCATAGAGCTAAAGGCAAGACTGGAAAAAGCCCTAAAGCCCTCTTCTTCTGAGCTTTGAGTATAATTTGTGTGATGTAATTTTTTTTTTTTTTTGAGAATTCCAGTGTATTTCCTAAAATAAAAAGAGGAAAAGCTTCAACTACAGAAATAAAACAAAAATCTCACCTTGTTATGTTCATACTTGTATGGGATTTTGAGGGTATCCATGGCTCTGATCATGGCCTGCATTGCTGTAAATATATTCTGGTACACCAGTTTTGTAAAGCCCCTTTTGTCTTCATCAGAGTAACCTGATCCATGAATGATTCTCATCTGCTTGATAAACGTACTTTTGCCACTCTCTCCTGTGCCTGCAAGACAAATAAAAAGGATATGCTTTAGCCACTGGATGCAAACACAGCTTTTTTTGCACAATGCTGATAGTAGGCGTTTAGTGCAGGGCTGAACAGTGTCAAGTGGTGCTTGCAAAGTAACTACAAGGACCAGTTCAGTGTCAAACAGTAGCATCAGTAGCAACTGAAGTACTACTGAATTAAAACTTGTATTTTGATTAAACTAATGAGTAAAACGAGACTCCAAAATGTACATGTAATATATGACTGCATATTTAAAAATCTTCTATTCTTTAAGATATAACTGTCCAAAACAGCTAACTTCAGGTAACTGCTACGAGACGTTTTATTGCAAAAATTCAGAAAGTAAAGAAAAAGTTTAACCTTCCTTGGCCAACCTTCAGGACGTTATGGTAGGCAGTATACAACCAATAGATATGTTTGTGTTTTGGTTTTGGTTTAGGTTTTTTGTTTTGGTTTGTTTTTTTGTTTGTTTTTGTTGTTGTTGTTGTTTTTTGTTGTGTTTGTTTTTTGTTTTGTTTTGGGTTTTTTGTTTGTTTTTGTTTGTGCTTTTTTTGTTTTGTTTTGTTTTTCCAAATGCACACAGTGTAACAATGACAGTCCCACAAACTTTAACCTCAAAAACATGCCTTATCAGTTAATTAAAATTTAGCTCATATTTGTTAATGGGCAGTCATTCTTTCCCTCCTTTAAATTTCTTCGCATCTTTGTACAAAGAATAGTTTCTTAATGAACATTTCTGACTATTTGTCAATTTAAAGTTAAGACCTGCCTACTGGAAATTTCACACAGGATGCATCACACAGCATTTTTCCTTTGCTCCAATTCAGTGAGCTCATCCTCTGTGACTATAAGAGCTTATCTACATCATTCCTGTGTTTGCTTAAGAGGAGGAGTTGAAATTTAAAATGAGCAGTTGCACAGCCACATAAACTGTGTTCACCCAGCTACTCAGCCCTGCAGGAAACAAAATGCATGCACCAGGGTGCATTGCTTAGTGCTGTGCTTTTCAGCCTGGGTTTTATTTTAGTAATTCCTGCAAAGTTTTCATGCCTCATACCATAATACTTGTGTCCCAGGACAGAGGCAGCCTTATGCCCCTTAGATAGTATTTTAGGTGCCTTGTCTGAGAAGCATGTTTCATAGCAGTGCGGTGCAACTTTAAAGGAGCAACCCTTAAGCATTTCTGAGACAGCACACACTGCAGAAATCTAAGCTGGAAGCCTCTAAAAGCTTTTGACTTTACCATGAGCATCATTCTGAAACCTTCAGTCCCATTTCCTGCACACATAAACCCAACTTCTAACACAAGTCTTCCTTACACACACATTCTCAGAAAACCAAGCACGCTGTTACACACTGACCAATTTTACTTCCTCCCGGGAGAAAGGGGTTATTATTGCGACGCAGAAGAGTGTGTTCTGAAGCTGGACAGGCAGCCCAAGCCTGCTCCCACCCTCTGCCTTCAAGAGGATGCTCAGCCCGCGCTGCGGCCAGGAGCGCGGCCCTGCATGCCGGCCACCCGGCAGGACTCGCCCCGCACAGCCCGAGCGAGGGCTGCGTGCTGACCAGGCACGGGTCCCTGTGGAAAGCGCGAGGGTCGGTGACACCTGCCCGTCCCCCAGTTCGTCAGGACCAGGGGCGAGGTCCTTACACTCCTGCAATCTACCAGCGGGGAGAAAACGCTGCTTTCCTCAAGACTGAACAGACGTACAAGCCTAGCCAATACAGAACTATTACACGGCAAAAAATATTTTAGGCTACCCTTAAGACCCCCGCAGTTTTTCTCTCTTTCTGAAACCTATGAAACAGTCATGTCCTGACACACAAGGTCAAATAAAGTGCCATACCACCCATTTTTAGTAATTCTGTAATACTGTCCAGCTTTCCTGCAAGATATGTCACACAATTAGTACAAAAATCTGTTCAATGTGACCCTGCAAATCACAAAATAGTATGAGAGATACCTTTTTGACATGACTAAAGTTTCTGCTTTAACTAACACATAAGAAAATAATTTCCACCAAACACCTCTGATTCAGTGGAATACAAAGTGACTTCCAGGTTTGGTCCTGACACTTCCCTACATGGGAATCCAGACCCCTTCAAAATCCTGAAATATAAATTTGGCATAGAGATAGGAAGAACATCCTTGTGTTATCTACTCTGACTTAAAACCTGAGGCTTCTAATTATTTTAATTCTTTATTGGGAGCATAGGTAGCAATCGATATCACATATGATAATCACACATACAAAAACACGGTGGTAAAGCAATCTGCACCATGTTAAAGAAGACAGTGTTTCAGATTATTTACATCTTGAAAGTGAGTCTACAAAAACCACAATATGTAGGAAAACAAAATTAAAGTCCAAAAAAGAATCTAAAACCTAAGTCTGCAGCTTATTCATCTTAGTAGTTCTGTAATTGGGTGTCTCTGGACTAAGACTGTGTCAGACAAAGACCAGTAACAAATTATACTCGGAGATCTAAAGACACAGATACACACACACATGCTATATGTATTTTTTGTTTTTTTTCATATACATATGTATATGAAATATATGTAGTGTATACTCTTTTTGATATACACATGTATATGAAAAATATATATTGTGTATACACATAAAATATGTGCAACTACCCATACATACATGAAAATGGTATCTCTCTCTCTGCTTTTGAAGACCATCTCAAAGTTTCCTCAAGTCTGTCCCTCCACAGATTAATGCTTAAAACTACCTTCCTGTGCCTGCCCACGAACAAATTTTCTGGTTAAGCCAGCAGCAAGGATGAGAACATTTATAGTCCTCCTTAGCTGCTTGGAGTGTCACATGTGTAAGGGCAAAGTGTGAGAAGTATCCTGGTAAGAAAGGAATAATGGAAAATTTCCACCATGGAATGCATGAAAATGGGATAAAGGAATATGAATCATAGGCAATAATAAAATCTACAGGATTGCCTAAAAATTACTAAGAAGTAAAAAATGTTCATTTTCAGCACAATATACAGGAACTCAAAAAACTTCACATTGGTAGTTCCTCTTGGATTGTTACAACCAAAGGCAGAAAGTAAGTATTTTTATATTGTTCCTGACAAGAAAAGAAACCAAAGAAAATTTAAAGTATGGCTTTTTTCTTTTAAACAGTGGCATCAAATCCTTCTGTAAAAAAAAGTCCTGTTTATGGGAAAACTACTTAATAGTGATAGGATAGGACACCATTTACAAGAATGTCACTAGAGATTTTCTCAGGTACTTCTCCCTCAACAAAAATAATTGGAAAGAAAATAAGCAATGTTATTTACTGTCAGAGAAACGTGAAAAAATTGGCATAATGAATTAGCAGGGTTAGCTAAACAAAGCTGCAATCATCACAGCATTATTCCTGGTGGGGAGTGGGACTCTAAACTACCACTGTTACAGTACTGAGTCAAACTTAGATTTGATTATTTTTACGTATTTTTAGCTTTCAAAATCACATGACTGGCATTATAAGGAGATTAAGACAATGACTGATACAACACCAGCTGTACTTTCTACAGCCTCATCCACTACAGAGCAAGTTAAGAAATACAACTTGGCAATACCTGCCTGAAATCTTACCCATCACCATAATAAACAAAACCAACACTGGATAACAGGCTAAACAGGACTCTTGAGTGGGCCTGTTTCACCTGGTGCAAAGACGAAAACTTGAAAATGGATAAAATAAAACCTACATGTCCTGAGAGGATCTGAATGCCTTACAGCTTCTGCTAACCACTGCTTTTACCACCATCATCTCAGGGATATCTCTAGTTGACACCAGGAGAAAGCAAAGGTGAAATAACAATGGAGCGGATCAGCAAAAAGGACCAAGACAGGATAAAACTATACCGAGATCAATTTTCTGCTGGTTGCTGTTGCACATTTAAATTAGTCAAAACTTGCATCAGTTCTCTGAAGCCAGATGAGTAGTGTATTCTCATCTGTCAGAAGACAGTTGAAGGCCACACAACGTAACTGAATCTTAATAATAATACCACCCTCCCTCTGTATCTTTCAAAAACAGTGACTATTTTTTTTTTTTTTAAATCATGATCCTAATATAACCCATGGGTGGTAATTCAGAGAGAAGTCAATGGTGTGACTGAAAAAAAACAAAAACAAAAAACACTTCCTGATTCAAAAACACAGTATAGTTCGTCATTTGACGACTTAAAAATTTCTTTCCAGATAAAAAAAAAAAAAAATCCAACTTATGAGTGAGAAGAATTTGCGAGACCTTACAGTGGCCTTCTAGCACCTAAAGAGGGTCTACAGGAAAGACAGGGAGGGACTCTTTATCAAGAAGTGTAGTGATAAGACGGGGGGTAACAGTTTTAAACCGAAAGAGTGTAGATTTAAATTAGGTATTAGGAAGAAATTCTTTCCTGTGAGGGTGGTGAGACACTGGACCAGGTTACCCAGAGCAGCTGTGGCTGCCCCCTCCCTGGAAGGGTTCAAGGCCAAGTTGGACAGGGCTTTGAGCAACCTGGGCTGGTAGAAGGTGTCCCTGCCCGTGGCAGGGGGGTTGGAACTAGGTGATCTTTAAGGTCCATTCCAACACAAACCATTCTGTGGCTCTATGAATTAACTAACTGTCTTCTAAAAGCAGTAAAGAAATGTCTCAAAGAATGATGCATTTTCATTCAAGTGTGGTATAGAGGATTATTAGAACCTGTATGTAAGACCTTAGCATCTTAGAACCTGACAAATTGCTGAAGACTTCGCCAAAATTTTCTTCTTCAAATGGCAATAGCAACAAATACTACCGCACCATCAAGAATTTTACAACCAGAGATCTGAAATTTCCGGCAGCAGTATTACCTCCAAAAGCAGAAGCAGAAAGGAAGTCAGGTTGCTTAAGTGCAGCAGTAATCCCTTCCGTGCATGCTTGCACATGTTGTACATATATATCATGCACAATTTATTACATTACTACTATTACTCCTGCGGCACGTCCTGCAAAAATGAA